ACATTTCCATTTTTGGAGAGGATATAGGATCTACACAGCCAATAAAAAGTTCAGCGACTAAGTGACTTGCACCATAGAAGATGCATCAGAATAGCCTGCTTCCCATAAATGCAACGACAAAGTTTACTATCATAAATATAGTGAGCGGTGCATTAATGGCGAAGAAAAGATTCAATCCAAGACCTTCTTTTTGTAACAACTTGGGAAGCTCGGGATCGAGCAAACTGAAAATGGTAAACGGATCATGTGAAATAAACACATTGCTGGATAGTCACTAAATGACGCACTTTATTATATAACAGGGATCAATATCGCAATTAGATCTTTAAAAATAAGTACTCTGCGCCACGTGCCAAACAAAAATTGTGTGTAATATAGAAGCCAATTTTAGGCAACTTTAGGCTTAGGCTTAATTCCTTCATGATAACGTGACTAGTGATGGGCTGTAAAGTTAAAACGCCCATCACCAAGTAATGAATGAATGAATGATGGTGATGATGGTCTAATTGTTTTTGTCTTACATTACTATTTTGGGAGGAGTTAAAGGAGCTATATATATATATATATATACCTTTTTGAATATGATAAACATTCTAACCTTTTTTATTATAATTGTCAAATAATTTCCATTTTTGTGTTTCTCTTATCTAGCGAACACTTGTTAAAATCTTTTTTTTTTTAACAAAAAAAAATTCACATTTCAAAAAAATGAATAATAGTGAACATCATTCACTATCAATGATTATTAATTATGATAAAAAATTAATTAAAAAATTTCGAAAATTAACGGAAAAGGTTTTACATTCAGACATTAATCATAATAAAAAACAAGAATATCTTGAACAATTTAGAGATGGAGTTAATGGTACAAAATTTAATGCTTTATGTCCTATACCAGGATATCCTGAAATTATAGAAGATAATAGTAATAGTAATAGCAAAGATGAAAATAACAGTAATAGTAATTTTAATTATAATAACTACAATAACGATTATAGTAATAATAGTAGTAATAGTAATAGTAATAATAATAATAATAACAGTAATAATGGCAACTACAATCTTAATAAACATATATCAACAACATCTATTAATGAAAATGATAAAGATGATTCATCAATTTCACAATCACTATTACCTTCTCCCAAATTTTATAATACATCATTTTTCTCAGAAAAAGAAGATTATTCTACATATAAAACATTGACGGCAAATAGCATAGATGATGATACGTTGGTTGAATCAAATAGGATTTTTCTAAAAAACAAACAGATTGAAGCAAAATTTAAAGAAAATAAAAAGGAAAAAATTGTTAATAAATTAGAAGAAATAAAAACTAATTTAATTGAAATAGAATGTCCTAATTGTGCATATTTAAATCATCCAATAATGATAAAATGTGAAGTATGTAATACTCAATTAATACAATTATCCTCATCTTCCTCGTCGTTATCATCATCATCAATAATATATGAAGAAAATCAAAGTATTCAATCAGAAATAATAAATTATGAATTAGTGAAGACTAGGTTAACAATTTTATCAATCAATGACCCTGATTATATTAAATTTAGAAATATTTTAATATCTGAAATACCAAAATCTAATGTTAAAGGTGTAATTAAAATAGATATGCCAACAAAATTGTTGAAAAACCATGAAAAATATAAAAAAAATATATCAAAAAAGACCGGTTTACCATTAGAAAAAATCACTCATCAAGTATTTCATGGAACAACAACAAGGTTCGGTTGTAATCCTGAAAGATTTTTAGTGAATCACAATTTCTATAATGAAAACTATGATTGTAAATTTTGTAAAAAAGGTTGTGGAATGTGTGGGATCCTACAATATGGAAATAAAAAACAACTTTCTAAACATTCAAAAAGTAAGCAATTATATCATCATTTCGTTTACACGCCATCATTATATTATTATTCCTATTTTTCTTAATTTTCTTTTCTTCTTTTGATAGAAATGTGGTTTGCACATAGTACTTTGGTTTCGCGTCATTATACAGGATTTAATTCTATAAAAGTGATGTTTGTTGTTGAGGTAGTATCAAAAGATAATAATTGGATTCTTGTTGTAAGGAAAAATAAGGTAATACATATTTATAATAATTATTATTGTTACCATTCTCTTATTTTTAATGATACATTATTCACTTTTTTTCTTCATATAGGCAACACTTCCAAAATTTATGATTATCTTTGAACAATAATTACAATTTATTAATAATAATTATTATATTGAGTTTTTTTTTTTTTTAATTTAATAATAATAAACATGTAAAATACCCTTAAATTTTTTTTTGTCAAATTTATAAAAAAAATTTTTGTATAAATTTAGCTAATATTAATTAATTAGAAAAGGTCTGGTACTTTTTTTTTATATAGAAAATAAAAATTTGTATATTAATATTATGTGACCGGGTTTATATATTGAAAAATGAATGAATTGACTAGTAGTTTATCATACTTAATATAAATATGTTAATACAATGATATACAAAAACAAAAACAAAACTTTTAGAATATATATATATATATATATATTAAAATATAATCAAAATATGTTATATATAAAAAAGACTGTACAAATTTACTATAGTAAATAAAAAAAAAGAAATCCAAGTCCTCTTCATCTCATAAAATATACATCTATCAATATTTGCAAATTTGACAAATCTATAAATAATAAAAACTTTCGAATCTTTTTATTATAGTTCATCATGATAATTTCAATAATTGATATAAAAAAAATAATGAATGAAAAGAGAAGGAAAAAAATTGCAAGAAAGAAATAAAGAAAAGAAAGAAAGAAAAGAAAGAAAAGAAAGAAGAATCAATGAATGAAAACAATAAATTAAAATCACTGAAAAAGGACCAAGAATTTTACAAGCGTTGCCTATTTAAAATGAAATGTTAAAGATATATTCATTAATTTATTCAAAATTTCAAATAATTAAAATATAGCGACTATATAATATATAATAGGCGTTACCTCTTCTTTATCAACAATAATTACATTTGCTTGAGGTCCTACTAATGAAATTACATCCACTATAAAGATTGCTTTAATTGGATCATTTGAACAGTAACCAAGAGAAATTGCAGAAGAATTTGCAAACCACATTCCTTTAAAAAAAAAATAATATCCAATTTGTTTTTTTAAAATAATAATATTATTATTACAATTACTATTCTTAAAATTTAATAAGTTATCGGTTAAATATATATATAATACTTACTTCCTTGATGTTTAGAAAATTTACGACTATTTCCATTCGTTGCTATTCCACACACTCCACAATTGGCTTTACAAAAATCCCATACAGCTAATCCACCATAACGAACCACATTGCAACAAACTCTTGTTCCGTGAAACATTTTATGAGTAACGGATTCCAAATTACGATTACCATTTTTAGCTATTTGTTTCTTATGTTTTTCATGTGCTTCAACTAATCTGGATGGCATTTGTAAGCGCAATATTGTCAAAATTTTTGCTGCCGGTAATCCAACACGGAAATGTTGCTGTGTGACCATGTAATCGTGATCATTCATTTTCAAAGGAATTACAATTGTTTTCTTATTTTTATTAATCGATCTTAAACTTTCACCACCACCAACTAATTCATTATGACACATTTCACATGTCAAGGATGATGAGTTATTTAAATATGTACAATGTAAGCATTGAATTTTGTCATTGTTGTTGTTTGGTAACTTATTTGCAAATAAATGTTCAAATTTATTTTTGTTCTTATTAATTAAAGGTAAAAAGCACATTTCACATTGTCCACTATTTGGATCATTAATAAACGAACACGAGCCGCATTGTAATTCAATTGAGCCCGATAAAGTTGCATTTCGACCTATGACAACTGATGATGGTAATGGAGGTGGAGACGTTGCTGTTGCTGTTTTCTTTTCCTCCTTCTTTTTTGATACTATTGTACCACACATTTCACATACTGTTTTATTTGGTCGAATAAAGAATGTACAAGATGGGCATGATATTTCTAGATCATCATCATCATCCTTAATAGCATTATTAGAAGGAATCGAGATTGGATCATAAATAAAATCACCGTAAATTAAATCCCTTTCGGCCGGTGCACTTAGCCACAATGGAATATCAGATGATTCATCATCATCATCTATCACTATATAGTTTTTTGAGATTGAATATGGATTAGATTGAGTTATTGTCGGTTTTGATGTTTTTGTTGATGATCTTTTTTCCATTGTATTGAATGATGTTGTTTTTCTTGTTGATTTAACAGATAATGATGGCCTTTTGAGTGGCGATGCTGTTGGTGAAGGCGGTTTTGAAAAAATACTTTTAAGTAGAGAGGGAACTGGAGGGGGGTGGGGAGCTTGATAACTATTTAAATATGAGTTTGTTCTAAATAATTGATTATTAATACTATTACTACTGCTACTACTACCTCCTCCACTGTTATTATTATTATTCATTTTTGCGGTGTTGTAAGTAGAAATGGGTTGTAAAATTTGAGGAATTTCGTTTGTCATAGAATTATTGTCTACGCTAGAATAATTTTTTGCCTGACAAGAACTACTACAATAATTAACCTCAATACCATTATTTTCAATTTTACAGATATTATTACAACCAGGCCTTTGACAAATAAGGTTGTCTTTATTGGATCTTTTTCTAATTTTAAACATTTTCCTTTATTGTTTCTTAATTTTTTAAAAAAAATTATTATATTTATTTGTATATTAATAATGATAATGATAATGATAATTATAACAATAAAAAAATGATAACAATGATATTAATGAGTGTTGGGAATTAAAGAAACAATTTAAAATCAAAAAAATACCATTTTTATTTATAATTATTTGCGGAAGCATTCTCCGTATACCAGAAAAGTGTTTTGTTATACAAGTTTTCCAAATGAATAAATGATTATTTCTCGTTTCTCGTAACAAGTGTAACTTGCTTGATATATAATATAATGCACGTGACTTTAGACTAGGAAAGTTGGTGCCTAAGCTTTATCGAAGTTAAAGTATTTTTACATAGACCTTGTAATGTCGGACTTTTCTTTATTATCCAAACATTTTGATTGGCCATAAATCACGAGATTTTTTGAAAGTGGGTAAAATAAAAGATCAGAACAATTAACTTCATCAATTGATTTTTCCGCAATATCTGATAATGAGTCAACTGGTAGTGATAAACTTATATATAAGTTCTGAAGATGAACAAAGATCACATAATAGAAAATCATTGCGCCTGAATGGTTTAAATCATATTTGTGGTTAGGAATTGAAGTTTCAAATGAAAAAACAGTCCTAAATTAATGGAATACTAACTTTGTCAAAAGGTACATTTAATTTAAGATTAAAAACATCCAAATTCAAATTCCAATGCACATAAAAATTTGAATCACTTGGTGCAGACCAATTTAAATCAAATTCTGATTTGGCAAATCAATTGAGCACAAATGAATTAAAGTATTTATTTATTTTATTAGTAAAATTTTTTTGTGTTTACACATATTTTTATTAGGAACGTCAATCAATCCTTTTTATTTCGTGACCGGGTCCTAAACAAACTGGACTTTCTCAGGTCCAGTCCTACCATTTGGGGCTTAAAAGGTCAACGTGTAACCATATGCGCTGATTTTGTTTGAACCCAAAATTCAGTACAGTATAATCTAAGGCTCCGAACGAATCGAATCGAACCGAATTTGAGAGTGATTCGATTCGATTCGTGACTCGATTTGAATTGATTCGAATCAAACCGGATTCCTAAAATTTTTTTAACGTCATATTAAATTTATATTTTTAATTTGATAATTTAAATTTATATTACACAGTGAATCTCAATTAGTGTGCCTCCATTTAATGAATACTAATGGATTGAGGTCTAAGAATGGTTTAATGATAATAAAATTCTTCTTGATATGATATTTATTCGAATTTTTAATAATAACGGATTTCTTGATATTAATATTAATATGGTTGTGTGACTATTAATAATGAGTAAAAAAGTAACGATTTACAATTGTACAATTCATTAAATCTAAAATAATAAGTACTAATATTACTGATGCTTCAGGTAAAAATTTTTTTAATATTTATACTATATAAATAAATATGAAATAAAAAATATACATTAAAATAAAGATTTTTCATTTATTATATATAGTGAATTTGATTCAAATCATGGATTCAAATCAGTTATTTATGATAGATTCAAACAGTCAGTTTGAATCAAATCAAATCAGTTCAAATCAAATTATATATTCGAATCTGTTTGAATCAAATTATATATTTGAATCAGTTCGAATCAAATCAAATCAATCTGGATTCGAATCCATTCGAATCAAATCAAAGTACAATTCAGATTTGATTCGAATTTGATTTGAATGAAATGAATCAAAAATTAAGTGATTTGATTTGATTTGAATTGCTTCGAATTTCATTGATTCATTCAGAGCCTTACATAGGCATTAACTTTAAGTAGGCCTAGCTGGTTCGATTTTTGAGTTACTAAATGGCAAGTTGATCCCATGCACTCCAAATTTTTTTTTGATTAATAGTAGCAGGGGCAGTAGTTTTATTTTTTTATTTAATTGTATTTTATTATTATATTTTACACAATTATACTTTAATAAAAATAAAATTCAACTTGGGAAAAAAAAAAAGATGTATACAACAATGTTTAAAAATAAAATGTTAAAGGAGTGTTTTAAAACTTTTATTTATACAAAACACCAGCATAGTGGAAGTTTGTTGTTACACGAAATGTTGTACAGAACTCATTGCTTCTGAAACTTCACCAGTGTATAGTTGTTACCTCTCTAAATTGGAGTTCAAGTTCGGATCAAATTCAAATCCAGTTTATCACTTACTTTTTATTGCCAGAATTTTTGCCATGTATTGTAAAGCTACGTTGCACAATATAAAAAATTAGTGTAACATTTCAAATTTCCACTATGCTCAAAAACCAAAAACAGATTGGCATATATAGTAATAAATAATTTTATATTTGATAGTATTAAAGTTCAATTTTTTAAATGTACTCGAATATCTTTATCATTAATATTAAGAATTAATTGACAATCCATCTATGAATCAGTCAAATGATATGTCACAGGAGGTGTAATTACATATATAAAATAGAAAATCTGACTCATGTAACAAATCATTTTTTTAAAATATCTCATTATTTTTATAACAAATTCAAACATCATTATTAATCAAAGATAAAACTATGTCATTATAGCTTTCTAATGAGCCCTCTTCCATATTTATAGAGGCTCTCTATGCCAAGCTATATTTATTCAAAAACAGCATTACTTTTACTTCAAAGCTAAGATTTTTTACCAATATTACCTTTACAAACTTGATGAGTGGTTGAAGAGATGTAAAATATT